TGGGCAGACACTGGTCTAAGACACTGGTCTAAGACAAGCACTGGTCTTGGGCAGACACTGGTCTAAGACAAAAACTGGCCTTGGGCAGACACTGGTCTAAGACAAGCACTGGTCTCAGATAGACACTGGTCATAGGCAGACACTGGTCTTGGATAGATACTGGTCTCAGACGGACACTGGTCTTGGGCAGACACTGGTCTCAGACGGATACTGGTCTAAGACAAACACTGGTCTTGGGCAGACACTGGTCTAAGACAAACACTGGTAACAGACAGACACTGGTATTGGATAGATACTGGTCTCAGACAGACATGGGTCTAAGACAAACATTGGTCTCAGACAGACACTGGTCTTGGATAGATACTGGTCTAAGACAAACACTGGTCTCAGACTGACACTGGTCTTGGGCAGACACTGGTCTCAGACAGATACTGGTCTAAGACAAGCACTGGTCTCAGATGGATACTGGTCTAAGACAAACACTGGTCTTGGGCAGACACTGGTCTAAGACAAACACTGGTCTCAGGCAGACACTGGTCGTGGATAGATATTGGTCTCAGACGGACACTGGTCTTGGGCAGACACTGGTCTAAGACAGACACTGGTCTAAGACAGACACTGGTCTTGGGTAGACACTGGTCTAAGACATACACAGACAGACACATGATGTGAGTGTATGTGTGTGGGTGGTTATACCCCACTATGTGGGGACCATTTATGGCATAAACCCCTACTTGTGGGGACCAACTGGTACTTATGGAGACCTAAGCCTAATCCCCATGAGTGCAAATGCTGTTGGTGGATCAGGGATTAGGTTTAAGACTAAGATTTGAATTGAGTTTAGGTTAGATTCAGAGTTAAGTATGTACATTTGAGGTTGGGTTTAGGGTCATGTTTCAGGGTTAGGCTGTAGAAATGAATGGAAGTCAATGCAATGTCCCCATAAAAATAGCTGTGCTAGGCCATGTGTGCGTGTGTGTGTTGTGTTTGTATCGTGTTGCTTCCTGTGTGGTACATTACAGACGGTGTGTTCAGGGTCAAACTCTTCACTCAGAGACAGTTTCCCAGGAAGAAAAATATTCAGCTACACTTCATCTCTCCATTGACTCCCATGCATTCATACATTTAACATTTAGCTGGCTGGGGGCCCTCTGGGGCCCCAAACATTATTCTGCTGTCAGTCACCCCGAAACACGACCAGTAATGAGATTCCATCCAAAAGTGACTCTAAGCGTGAGAGCCAAATCACACCTACGCCCGCCAAATGATTGACAGCGCCTCGTCCTCCCATAATCCCACACTGCACTCACCAGAGACCCTCGCAGACAGGAGATTGTACCCGGTGAAAAAATTCTCACATCAGGTATTCAGAGCGGGAAAAGATGAGAGCTGGTCCCACTGTCATCATCATCATCATCAGCTACAGACGGGTGAAGAGCCAAGAGGTTTTCACCAGGAGTTTAAAGATGACAGACGTTAAACTGACTGAAGATCATCAAGTTCAAACAATCTCACAGAGTCCAGATCAGAAAGTTTCATCATAGTGGAACCAGAACATGGAACAAAGAGTTCTCACGTAGTCCCAAATGGATCATGGCATAATTACAGAAACAGTACACAGAAAAAAATTACCAGACACATCAAAACCTGCACAACAAGGCCAAGCAAGGAAATAATCTGGACTGGTACCAGCCAAAAACCATCCTCAAGTCTACATACACAACTGAAACCAGACAGCAGGAAAATCTCTAACATCACCAACAAGATTCCCTCTGCAGACCCGACAACACACACCTGATCTGTTTTTATACAAAACCACAATCAAAAAGAAGTCTGATCCAGAAATCAGATCCACCATTCGAACCTCCAAAACCAAACCAGAACCTTACAGGTGTTATTCTAAAGGTGTTCAGATTAAAACAACCAGCGGAGACAGGCCTGCATCAACCGAACAACCAACCACCTTCATCCTGATGCTGTCACCAAAAGTTCACATTTTGGTGTGAAGAAAGACGAGCGGTCCAGAGTCAGAGGAACTGAGGTTCTGGGTCAGAGTTTAAAAGTGAATGATGTCAGAGAGATTCTGAGAAGTACAAAATTGGAGCAATTTGAAGGTGGGAAGAAGAATCATGAATCAAGGTCCAATAGAAGCCAATGAAGAAAACCCAGGCAGCAAAGTTTTGGACTGACTGAAGACAATCGAGATCTTTACGACCCAAACGAAGCGAGATGATGGTTCCACAGAGTCAAGGAGTGGCTTAAGTCTTGAGATGTTTCTGAGATTAGAAAAAGGAGAGAGGAGTCCAAAGGATTGGTAGATGGAGCATCCATCTACGTCCAGAAGGACAGAGGAGGTCCAAATGCCTGGAGACATCACGCAGAATCAGGGAGAAGATCGGGACAGAAGAAAGAACAAAAACAAAGAACAAATGGAGTTGATGTAAAAGACAAAACTCAAAGTGGTCCCAGAAAAAGAGAACTATCAGACTGGGTCAGAGAATCCAGGAAATCTGAGGTAGAAGGTCTGAAGAGTCCAGTTCTGTCAAACCCAGGTCAGATCTCTATGACGGATGTCTAACCACTCAGTGGGACATTTCAGACGCCAAATCATTCATAAAGAAAAAATGTGAATCCTATTAGTTTTATGTCTTTCAAAGATGAATAATTTAGGTTCTGACCACTTTCCTTCTGTCTCGGTTCAGAAAGCTGTCACACTTTTTGCACTTTACACTCTTTTAGCACCATCTCTGCTTTGTGTTGTTCTGTTGATGCACTTTCTCTGAACACGACAGGCACAAAGATTCATTTAGTAATAGTTGTTTACACTAATAAAGAAAACTAAACATTTAACTGATGACATATTCTGGTGGATTTCTAGATTCAGTATGTTAAAAACATCAGGTCCTTCCTGTAAAATCTGGAGAGAAAAAAGTGAAAATGAAATCAGGTTGATGTTTTCTTCCTAGATTCTGGGTTTAAAGGTGCAGATGCTGTAAGTGACTGGTTCTGTGAGCTGCAGTCTGACCCTGACATGTTTCCTGTTCACTGGACGCTGCTGAAAACACAGGAGACCTTCCCATCATGCATTTCAGCAGGCAGAGAGAGAAAAAAGAGCTGCTGTAAAATCACCACTTCTCTTTTCAAAAAGCTGCTGCAGTCGCATCCATCCATCCATCCCAACCCCCCCAACACACATTCACAGCCTGAGAGAGGAGGGGCCGAGGGGGGAGGAGGAGGAACGAGATTAATACTCAGAGGAGGAAGGGGAAGGGGAGGTGAAAAGAGGAGAGGAGAGTGTGTGATTCCTCGTGGGACAGAAGAGGGCGGGTTAGGGGGGCACAGCAGGGAGGAGGAGGAGGAGGAAAATAAAAAAGGAGGAGGAGCCTGATCATGCCAGATCTGCCGGAATCTCCGGGAATTATTCAGGTAAATCCGAACTGGAAAATTCCTCCTGGTTTACAGCAGAAACAGCTTCATGTTGGTAAAAAGCTGCATTTTTGCACATTTCCTTTAACCCGGTTCTGCCATGTGAGCGGTCCAAATGGACCTTTAACCTGAAGACATGGTGTTCTCCAAAACACATTTGGTCCTGAAGGTCCATTCGAACATCTCCTTTCCGCAGAGTTCTGCTTTCTCAAACACAAAACATCAACGTAAAATGTTCTGTGAATCCAAAAGGTTTGAGCCTTTCTAACCTTCACCTGGTGACCATCTAACCTTCACCTGGTGACCATCTAACCTTCACCTGGTGACCATCTAACCTTCACCTGGTGATTGTATAACCTTCACCTGGTGACCATTTAACCTTCACCTGGTGATTGTATAACCTTCACCTGGTGACCATCTAACCTTCACCTGGTGACCATCTAACCTTCACCTGGTGACCATCTAACCTTCATCTGCTGACCATCTAACCTTCACCTGGTGACCATCTAACCTTCACCTGGTGACCATCTAACCTTCACCTGGTGACCATCTAACCTTCACCTGGTGATTGTATAACCTTCACCTGGTGACCATCTAACATTTATCTGGTGACTATCTAACCTTCACCTGGTGACCATTGAACCATCACCTTGTGAACGTATAAACCAGTGGTGTTCAAAGTCGATCCTCAAGGGTCATTTTCCTGCATGTTTTAGGAGCTGCTCTGGTTCAACACAGCTGAAACTAAACAGTGCCTGATTAGTAGGCCTCCTCAGTAAACCATCAAGGTCTGCAGAGGCCTACTAATTAAGCAATACTTAGTTTCAGCTGTGTTGAACCAGAGCAGCTCCTAAAACATGCAGAACACCAGCCCTTGAGAACTGACTTTGGACACCACTGGTCTAAACTTTACCTGGTGAACGTTCTTTCTTCACATGGTGACCATCCAAACTTCACCTGGTCACCATCTCACCTTTACCAGGTGACATGTTCAACCTTAATCTTTTGAACGAACAATGTTCACTTGGTGAATGACTAAAGTTTACCTGGTGAATGTCCAATGTTTCCCTGGGCAATATCTAATCTTCTATTCAGCTTCAGCTGAACCTCAGGTCCAGTTTCAGAACATCTGAAATGGTTTTAAACCTTCAAACACTCAGAACTTCTGTCAGTTCTGTGGTGTCAGTCTTTCAGTTCATATCAACAAACTCAGCATCCAGAACCAAAACAGCTGAACTGGAACCACCTGGAACCTCCTTTCAGCCTGAGAGGTTCCATCAGTTTACTAAGAGATGGAAGAAAACAAAAGTATCGGAAATAAAAATAATAAAAGTCCTTGTTGACCCATTAAAGCATGAATACCACCGGACGGGTGGAGCCAATCACCAGGATGCATTTAAAACAACAGATCTGACCACAAACAATGCTTCATTGTTGGATTGTTGGGCTGGAATCTGTTTGTTTGTTGTTTATTTGTTGTGCTGCGGTAAAACAATCATCACCCCAACAGGCTGACATGTTGATCTGAATATGAAACAATTTTTTTCTATCAGGCTGAAGTTAAACGGAGTTACCTGTCAATGATGACGGGGTCTGACGGCGTCTCGTTCCTGTTTCCACAGCTCTTCTTATCACAGCAGCGACTGAAAACACCAACAGAATAACAAACAAACTGAGCAACAAACAAAATAACAGATTAACAAACAAACTGAGCAACAAACAAACAAAATAAACAAACTGAGAAACAAACAAAATAACAGATTAATGAACTGAGCAACAAAAAAAACAGATTAACAAACTGAGCAACAAACAAACAAAATAAACAAACTGAG